ATGAATTGATAAAGCAAATGATCGACAAATAGTTGTCGTTTGACTGTTGTTTGCGAAAACAACCGTTGACTTCGGTTAATGGATGATAAATGCTCATTAAGAATTTATTGACGACGTTTCAGCCATTTAAAGGATTCTTGCTAAGATAGTCAGTTTTAGTTCAGTGTTAAACATTTTAGAACTGGTGAACTATAGATACAAATGTGTTGTCTGGAATACGAAAAAATACATTGATCTTGTAGGTACATAGCACACAAAAACTATTTATTAAATAGACCCATAAAATCTTAGTTTAAACTCAAAAAACAAAATTACAAGACAAAATTCCGAGGAAGCTTCAAAAGTTATTTTTCTTTTAGAAGCAGCATACGCGGGCTTATGAAGCACCCATGCCCTCGTGGTGTAGGGGAAAAATGGCCGACTCATCAAAACAATAAACAAAGTATCGGAGCCCTATTTTATTATGTTATTATGCACGCCGCCCTATGATTTAACGCTGCATAGATTTGAACGACGACAGCAGATATAACTAAATTTTGGTTACAAATATTTGCTTACGAAATTGAAAGAAATTAACAAGAAATAATTTACTGCAGGAATAAATTAATCAACTCGCTTGATGAAGAAACAATGTTTTTTTATTCCCTATTTATTATTTCCACAAATATATATTTAAATACGTTGCCAAGTCATTTACTTATATGATTACTGAAACGATTACTTAGTAAGTTAATAATATTTTGAAAATGATTGCAACACGGGCTTGCGGGTCAAGCACAAATATGTACTATGGCCTAGGCCTTTAGCAGGAGAAGGAACAGGATAGTTTTTAGTCAGCAAGAGCCTGACAATTTTTCAGAAGGGAGAAGTCATTTGGCTATCCCTTGGGCTAGATCAAGTAACAATTAAATGACTATAAGTATGGCGATTACGGTCCATCGTTAGCTCCATTTGTTTTAAAGCTTTTTTAATGTTTCCTCACCAGTATTTTCTTGTGTGTCGTGATACAAACAATGATACTAATAGTCGAACTCGCAAAACCATGATCAGCAGCTGTTTGCCCAGACACTGGGCCAACTGTGTGTTTGGTGTGTCAGGCAGTTACGTCACTTACACACACTTTTACACTCAGCACGGTTACATTAAAACAATAATCTCCTCCTTTTTCGAGGTTGGTTAAAATATCACATATATATTGCTCTGTAACAATGTCATGAGAAAAAGATCACAGAAAACCAATATTAACCCGCATAAAAATTCTTGCCCTACGTTTATGAGAAAAAGTTCAGGGTTTACTGCAATTTTTCCTTCCACCACCTACCAAAGAGATTATCAATCAAGGAGTATTTCCTAGTACAAATTTATCACGAGGTTCTTATTGTGACGCCGGATAACACAATATCCACCGGATATCCGGAGGGGAGGCTCAACATCATATTTTTATCATCGTTATGTCAAGAAAAAATTTGGCGTTGTCTTAATATGGAACTAAAGTGATATATAAATAATACTTTAATATTGTGAAAACAAAACTTTATTTTATTAAATAAATAACGTCGATTGTTCGAAAAAGCATGTTTTGTTAAGATATTGGTTTGAAGTGTGTTTTAGAGTATCCATTGTTTTGGTAGTAAAAAAGGTAGAACAGAGGGTTGGGGATTGGCTAAGATTTAGGATTATGTTTGCGAAAACCTCACGAACTCCGCGAAAATGCAACACAATTGTCTATTGTAATAGCTTTGTTGCACGGAAGTTTTCTGAGGGTATTGCTATCATTCCAAGCAAACCAACCTATTTACACAAAACCTGACTTTTCTCCACTTAAACATATAACATATATGTGTAGGTTTCGATTTTCGATGTAGCAAATTTTTCATAAAATTGTGTGTTACTAAAAAAAGAATCATTGGTGACTTAGTTAAGAGTCTAACAAAAATATATTTTGGGTGTATCCATCCTATGATATCGTCTCAGTATTTTGATCCGATGCTGTTTTCAACAGGGAGTGCATCTTATTGGCTGATTAATGATTGCACAATCACCTAGCTTAAACTTTTAGAAAAACAACGTTTCATTTTAAAAACATCGCGGGTTCCTAGTGCACCCTATTATGCAGAAGATGTACAAATAAATTATTAATTACAATTCAAAAAATTGGCAACACGTGAAATTCAGTATCTTTATCTTATTTTAAAAAATGATATATATAATTATGAAAAATGATGACGTCATGTCATCAAAACATTAATTGCTATGAATAGCATTTTTTTAATAGAAAATTTCGAAAATTATGTATGTCGTCGAATTAAGCAATGAAAGTATGATTTTTGAAATGTTTATCGTAAATTCGCTTTAATTTATTTTTGACTGAGGAAACAACTTCACTTTAATAGGTTGATCATAATTATACAATTCAATTTGATTTATGAATATTAATCGACAGCCGAGTTTATAATAAGTATCAAAGAAAAACATAACTCTTTACCTGTATAGCTCAATATTTACCTACTGCCGTATTCAGAAACTACATTTAATATAGGTACCTACTTAAACAATTCATAAATAATGACTTTGTTCCGAAAACTATTGAAAGGGAATGCGTTGTATAATCATTACTTAAATGACTCTGAGTATGACAGTTAATCTTCGACTTGTTAGACGTTACAGCTTAGATATTTTTTACGAATTCGTATCACAACCTTAATGAGCTATATTTGGCTTTTGTAAGTTATGTCATTCTAGCAACGGGAAAACCGGGACCGACGGAACGCCAACTTTACCTGCGTACCTAATTTAACTAATATGCACAACAAAAGAGTAATTTATATAATAAACGGCAGTTATTCGACATACATTTCTGAGATTATTTTCCTACACTTACGTAATTATTTTTCAAAATTAACCGGCTGTAGAATGAATTATCTTTGGCGGAATTTCCTTAGTGATACGACCATCAAACCTTCAAGATAAGAGAGTACACCTTAAAAAACTGGCAAGGCTCAAGTGACTCCTCTGACATTGAGAGTGTTTGACGGAACTGATCGTTTATAATCAGACCAAAAAAAAAAGTTCAGCGTTTTATACCAAAATGATAAACCACGATACAACCCTTGACTTATCACTTAGAAACGTCACATATCATATCATATTATTAAGAAATACCATATAGTGAATATTTAAATATAATTCCTTTTAATTAACGAGTTTTTTGAAACAACTGAAACAAAACGTGCAAAGCTGTAAAAGGTCCAAGTCAAAACGGGACTCTTCGTCATAAACAATGTCAGACCTTCGCAGTCCTATTTACGCATCACCATCAAAAGCACGTATCACAAAAATTACGCATATATTATCATCTATTATAAGGTGTAGATTGGAGTATCACATTAATAGCTAGTTACAATAATTTTTCATACTTTTCTGAACAGGTATCATCCTCGTCGTATACCATCATTGTCCATCCATTGCTAGGTTATGGGTCTGCGTAATATAAACGGATTTTCCATAATCTACCAGCTCGGAAATCGGGTTTAAGTTGACAGTCTAAACGGTGGAATAGACCTGCTTCACCACCAATGGGTTTGTCGACCAGAGTAATAACTTTGCCACATAGGATACAGGTCATAAATCACCGCATGCACTGTGTTACGCCATGTAAGTCAGGTTACCGGAGGCAAAATATCTCTTTATCTATCTCGCCATGACAAATTCCAAAAATCTCCCAGCCCTGATTTCATAACCCTCAAAAGGTCGGCAACGAATTCGCATCACCTCTCTGTTGAGAGTGTCCATGGGCAGCGCTGATTGCTTACAATCAGGTGATCCGTCTGCTCCTGGGTCACTCAATGCCATAAAAAATCGGATTTATCACCGCTACCGCTATTATATCACACAGTTACTTAAGTCCTAAATCAATAGTCTAGAAAGTTGGTAGGATCGATATTCCAATCACTATTACGCGACCAAATTCGATATTCCGCTTTTGAATAAATTTTCTTTGTACAATGGTATTTTCACATCTAACAGTGTTACCAAGGACTTTGTCTTGGTTGAAAGAGTATGGAGTTCGGATATTGCGTGGAGGCGTAAAGGCGTGGTGATTTTAACCACGCCTACCTAGTGGGCGTGCCGGATGAGGTATTAAAATATAGTATATATTGTTAAAAATGGGTAAGGAAAATAAGTATGTACGGCGTATAAAATGGCGGCAGATCATAGACTTCGTAAGAATAGTTTAAGTTTTATAGGGAATTATCTCAATATTTTAAGACAAAAAGCAAAGTCAAGAATAAAAAAAATCAAATGGACGTCTATCTGTGATTTGTAATAATATGCATTTTAATTTATTGCCTAATATCTCCAATCAGTATAATTGTCTTTAGTAAAAATACCAGCATACTTAAGATATTTTCCTTCCAGAATTCACGACGTTTATTTAAGGCTGATTTCTACAAAATGTCAGGAGAATTGGAGTAAATATTTTCGTTTACAAACATACTAACCATAAAATAAGAAGTTTTTCTTTTTTAATATTTTTTATGTTCAATAGTTCTACTGAAGCAATATTTATAAACCTCTTAACATCAATTAAAATGTAATAAACATACGACTACGTGTACATAATAAAAACAAAGTAAAGTGTAAGTATAATAAATACCACTTACCTTAATCTCCATTTTAACAAAGCTGTTTTCCAAATTTTTACACTCAAATTAAAAGTTTTAAATCTACAGTAAATAATTATTTTCATACAAAAATCAACGGGAAACTGACATTCTGGTTCCATTTTCAAAATTCAAAAAAAATATTTTTTAAACAATGTTCTTCAGCGTCGCTACGACATCGGTTACGCTGTAGACGCTATTGGCTACGTAAAGGCGGAGCTTGCTACGATTTCACACGAAGTTTTCCGAACTGCACCGACGACACACAAGTAAAAGAACGACCAATTTTCCTTGAACCCTACTTATCCTTCACAAATCTCCTCTGCGGTAGAAAAGATGTCGACAGGAAGGGGTGGGGTAGGTCAACGTAAACTGGGTGGTTTTTAGGAGAAAATCATGGGGGTTGAGAAAAGGGATTTGCCAGGATACTGTTACGTAACGTCAGTTGAGCGACGGCCGCACTAAGGGAAGCACGTTCCGCATTGTTTTGTTCGGAAAACATAAACAACAACAACGTGTTTACTGACGTAAATAACACGCGGAACTTCGTCCTTGGACTTTCGTGCAGTTGCAGTTTTGAAGGTAATTATTTTATGCACGTGTTTTGTATTGTTGTTGTGTTGTTTATTATTTTTATTTGTGACTGTTGTCAGTTAGTTGCCTTTTTAGTGTTGTAAAAATTCGCTCGGAGTTTTGAACCATTTCTGTCATAAAAGTCTTTGAAAGTTTTTCTTGGTTCTAGGCAGATTATTAAGGCGTGGCAAGTACGTATTGTTTTCGGTTGCTTAATGTTTTAATGTACCTAGTCAAAAATTCATTAATTCCGTGCATCATGCATTCACGTGGCGTAGCTTTTCATACAATACAAAATGACAAGTTAAAAAAATCAAAGTAAAAAAATACATTTATATCATTCAGATTCGCAGTTTTATTCCGATAACGTCCACGACACGTGCTTGCCGATTGTCGCATAAATAGCGGATGTCATTTTATTTTAATTTAGCATTTTATTTGTTTTAATAAATATTTTATTTGGTTTAATTTCGCATGTAGCAGTTATGTTAAACAGTGTTTACTAATAGAAATCGTTTAATTTTGTGCTCAGCCAGTTTTTTATCTTGATGTCAGTGTACTATGTTTTCAATCTTCTGCATAGATAATGTTTTAATATATTAAGGAATTTAGTATACACAAAGAAAATCATAATGCTGTACTGATATACTTTTCTATACTAATATTAGAAACGATTGTGTTTGTTATTTTTTAATTCTTGATTATGAGGGTTTTTGGTGAGAGGACTTTACTCGCCCAGTCTAAGGGTAGAGAGAGTGTCGGACTCTTACTGACTAAAATCCCTTCGGTTCTTCATCAGCTCCACGCCGAGGCCGAAGGAAACTGATTTTAAAACCTTCTTCCTTTTATCTTTGACCACGTGTGAAACAATCTGGTTCTTTATATTGTATAATATAATTATATAACCGGTAGCCTATAAGGAAGCCTTACTTTACTTAGTGCTAAATATAATAACATATAATAAACTTCCTTAAAATCTAAGTATGGAAGCTAATCACCCGAAACTTCTCTACAAAAATCAACCTTACATATGCGAGAATAAAGTTTTGTTTATTTTTTCCTATTCTATTATATCTTTATCAATATTATAAGGAGAAATGATTTTATGTTTGTGTTAAATCTATACTTATATTATAAAGAGGTAAAATTTTTGAGATTGTATGTAGGGAGTAATTTTTGGAACAGCTGGTCAGTTTGCCAAAATTCTTTCACTGATAAATAGCCACAATGTTCCTGAGTGCTATAGGCCATAAACAATCACGCTACGATCAAATGGTGCCGAGCAACGAAACTAGCTAGTAGGTATTAAAGCAACTGGACCGATTAGATAAAAAATAACTATTGGGAAGCGAAACTATGTCCAACTAACATTGGCTATAAACACCACGGGGCAGAGCCCGTTTTTGGTATAATTAATTTAAAAAAAATAGAAAATCTTTTATAAGCTAATTTTTATCAAGGAGGTCATCAAGTCTAGGGACTAAACGCTTTACGAAATGCTTTTATAGATTTAGTCCGTTTTTGGTATAATTAATTTAAAAAAAATAGAAAATCTTTTATAAGCTAATTTTTATCAAGGAGGTCATCAAGTCTTGGGACTAAACGATTTACGAAATGTTTTCATAGATTTAGAAAACCAAAAGTAAACTATGGTCATCCAAATTAATCAGGTAGGTACCTATAACTCGGGTACAAATAATTTTACATAAATTATTTCACCAAATTCGTTTAAAAACATTTAGGATAAGAATTCTAATTCATATGCATACTACATGCGTACATTGCAAGTTTAATAAAAGCCTTAAACTGAAATCATTTGATATCCTGAAAGCGGTAGCAATTATAAACATTTTTAAAACTAATTAACGAACAAAACGAAACGCACAGAACACCCTATACATACCAATCCACCTCTCAAAATTAACCTCAAGAAATACTCGACTAATCAAACAATAATCTTAATATTTAATTGTCAAAGGCTTACTGCATTAATAATTTTAATGCAAAGATTGTAACAATTGGATCTACTCGCGATACCTGTTATTAAATATGCAAATTAGTTATTTATTCAAGTCGAAGAGGATTTTGTAGGGGTACGATATTTACGGTAACTTTCTGTGTAATCGACTCGGCTGTCATGTCAAGTCTGTAAGGAAAGGTATAACATAAACTTAGGGTTAACCCCGAGTTTTGACGTTTACGTTTAAGGTTTACGTTTCGTGTTTTAGGATTAATGGTAATTAAGTAAAATGAGATGGTTTGTAAATTGATACGCTACCATGTTTTTGCGTCGCATTATTTCTGTATTGTTCTCACAATTTTTTTTTTCATACAAGATAACAATACTGGCACAAAACAAATTTAAATTAAGAAGTGGAGGCCGCTAAGTGACCACTCAGTATAAAATGTTACCAAGTCGTGATGTTTAAAATAAAAAATATTATAATATGGTCGAAAGATCAGTAAAAAAATAAAAAATAAATTTTTATTTTATGTTTTAAATTAGTCTTAAAGAATGGGATTAATATAAAAGTTAGTCATCAACCTTAATCCTTTGACTGCCGACAGAAAACTGTTGAAGGTAAATCCTCCGCTAACGGAGGTCACCGGTGACCCCCATGGCGCTTAACGTGTATTGTCAATTTTTGCAAACATGAATATGTTAAACAACTCAGAAATAAAAATCAGTAAACATTTCATTCAATTGACAATGTGTGACTGGATCAAAAATTTAATGAAATCGCGGGTCGCAATTTGAACATAATTAACGTTGTCGATACTATTTTAAATTATTAAAAAACGCCAATATTTAAAAATACAGTTCCAGTTTAAGTTTATGTAGACATCAAAAGTAAAACTGACCTTATAATTTCTTAAAATCTCCAATCCGCCTCAAGTGGGCTTGGTGATTAATATTCAAACCTTCTCCGTGTGAGAAGAAGCTTTTGCACAGCCTGGGCACTTATATGATGACGATGATAATATTGAAATATTTGATGACCAAATATTTTCAACCTTATAGACACAATCTAAAGTCAATTTCCTTAGTAAAACAAAAACCACCGCGATTGCTAATCAAAATTATTAATTGAAGAATATAAAACAATAGGAACAGGCTTTGTCCCTAGAGGATCGTTCAATTTGGATTATTTATCGAAAAGCGAACGAGCACTGGCGGCGAAGCTAGTTAATTTACAAAATAAATATTAGCACAATCAGACGGACCGGTCTTAGCTCTTAACTGTTGTTTTGACTAATTATTATAAATCAACTTCGTTGGTTTCTGTTGGCCTAGTAAGTGGAAAGTGATGATAATATAAAAGATCAAAATGAAATGAAAAAAACTTAGATACAAAGTCATCAAATGAAACACTAATAGGTTCTAGTCAATTTCTGGGCATATTTACAATTATTGGAAATTTTTAACTATTGAAACAAAAATACCAATAGCATTGAGTATGAGTAGATTAGACTACATGTGTATGAATGTATGTTTGGTTCTGACCGAGGACCGAGGACCGATTCCATTTAAATTTGGTATGTAGATAGATGATACCCTAGACTCACACATAGGCTACATTTTATCAACATACCGGGCGAAGCCGCGGGTGGAAGCTAGTATAGGTACTATCAAAATAAATAAACTGACAGATACTACGTACAATTACAACTAACCAGTACATACTTCCAATTTACCATTTACAAAAAACATCGTCAACCATACCACCAAGATACTCCATAGCCAACACACATCAATAGGTACAAACGTAGAAGACGCCATGTTCCTCGGGAGCATTGTTTTCAATAAATTAAACGTAGGACAAGAGGTCCGGACTGGGCAAACAGCCTGAAGCCTCCGTCAACACAATTATTATACTCGGACAGTTACCCCTCGTGTCGATAAACACCCTCTAAATAAATTAACTGGACTCCATCCAAAACATTTGTTCACTGTCTCTCTTCTCGGCTTGAAAAAATATAATTAATTTAAGTTTCTGTTCTGGTATTTAGGTAGTATATTTAACGTTTTCAATTAAGGGTATGGCTGTTTCTAATGATCTGTGTGGTTTTAAATTTACAATATGCGTGGCGATAGATAGAAATCATTGTCTTAATTACTGAGTTACTCAATTTTAGAAAGGGAACAACATATCATCATCTGCACTATCATACAGTACCAACTTTATTAATTATTGTTTATTTTTGTCTTAGGTCACAACGATGGCTGCTCGTCCAGCGGCCCCTGTCACTCGCACCAAAAAACAAAATCACGCAAACATACCGTGCCCAATAGAGAACTGTGCAAGATTCACCTATGGCAAACTACCCGATCATCTCACGAAGATTCATGGCCTAACAGGAGCTGAAAGAGACGCCCTTAACGAACAACAGCGAAAACGATTCTTCAACGGTGAACTCTGCCAAGTACGATACCTCAAGGAATCAGCGATTAGAGACCTTTGGGGAACAGACTACGAAGATCCTCGAATTCGTGCAAAAATCCACCAAAGTTACAATCTAGTCAAAATACGAATCATACCACTTGCGGCTACGCAACGATCTCGACCACTTACCGAACAAGATGCAAATGTTCTAACCGCCTATAACGCTAGGACAGCTCCAAGACCAGCAAGAGTACAAAAAACGAGGACTCGACCACGGCCTTATCCAGCTCCTGAGGCCAGTCCAGTAGAACGGCGAGCATCAAGCGAGTCCAGTGAAGAAGAGAACACGCAGAATCCTCTACCACCTTCACCGCCACCATCATCTCCATCACTTCCACCGTCGCCAGCTCCTTACGAGCTGCAACAAGTAGAAACTCGTTTACGAGACATATTCGATTCCAAAATCGACGCTGGGTACAAAGCTGTCATCGATGACATGAAAAAATCCATGACAATGGGAAGGACCCTAGGAGCAAGAAAGCGCAAAGCATACAGAACTTATCGACGCTATGCGAAGAGATTGATTGCCTTCCTTCATCGACAACATTCTCCTCTAGCGTACGATGTAGACGTTCTTCTTTGTGGAGAAAGCCAAGTCTGCGCCTTTCTAGAACGTATCAGTGCTGAGCACAAAACGAAAACCTTGAGGAATTACATCGTGGCCGCTATCAAGCTGCTCGACTCGCGACTGTTTGCAATAGAAACTGACCCTTCGTGCAAAGAGAAGGTGGCTTCAATGACACGTGTCTATGACGTGTTACATGGCCGTCTGACGGAGTGCGACAGGCTCTTGGCACAGAAGGAAGCCTGTCAGAAGAAATCGTCGCCATCTTTCGAAAGTGTTATCGAACAAAGTTTTAATGTTTCATACGATGAGCTTGTGTAATAAGTGAATAATGTATACTGACATTTTTAATTATACTGATCCCTGCTCATATTTCGTCCCCGCTTTAAATAGGCTGAAGGTTTATTAATCATTTCATTTATTGTTGCTATTCTAAAATCTTACGTGTATTTACCAAAACAAAGAGACGCTTAGAACGGGTAAAATCGATTGAAGAAATTGACTTGCTTTCAACTGACATTCCGTCACCTTAATAAATAAGTTGATAATTTATTAATAATGTTAAGTTCAAAGGAAGAATACACAATCGAAGTGAAAACGTATTTTATAAAAATGTATAAAATCAATGCAAATTAGCGACTTTAATAAAATGTTAAGTTTAAAAATCCTTGTAAATATTTGTAATAATCTACGTGTGTGAAGCAATAAGCTTATAACATGATTAGCAAAATAAATAAATATTATAATGATTATATTATTATCTGTGTTATATAAAGAAAGTAATACTTTCATTAGTGCGCAATAATTATGCCAAATATTAGAATTATTATAATATAGTATTATAGATTATACCAGCATTATGTACCTATTACGGTAATTTACGAGTAATTCTGTAATTTACTGTTAATTTTAAGACTTTGAAGTATTTTCATGTAATGGATGGATCTCATTAGTATTATTTTTCGTGTAAATGTATAACATGTACCTACGTAATTTTAATTTGTTTACCGTGTAAATATCTCTGCTAGTAAATTATTTCAATTAATTGTCTTGTTTTTGTTATTTAAATGCTGTCCAAGAAACCCTACTTTTTTAGTGAGGGGAAAATCATCAATTGATTTAATCTCGATCAAGGTCAGGCGGGAGGGAGTGTCAGACTCTTACTGACTAAAAATTCATGCCTTCTCCTACTTTAGGCGGAGGTCGCGGTGACTTATTGCGCGTGCCCCGCAACCGAGGCTTAACATCAGCCCTATAGGGCCCCGTCTATGATGGTCTATTGGCTCGGGTCTAGTTCTGGTCAGGCGGCGTCCGCAGATCCGCGCTTACGGTAGCCGGAGATCAAATCTCAGTCGAAGAAACCCCTGATTTACACATTTATGAAGTACAGGAAACAATATTCAAATTGTAATGCGCGTTTAACTAAATAACAAGAAGTGAAAAAATAAGGGACACACTTTTTGAATCGTATTAGTGATAAGAGAGGGTAACTAAACATTTCTTTGATATTTCTCTAGTAGGTCATCATCATCAGCCTGTTGTCGTCCACTGCTGGACATAGGCCTCCCCAATTGCACGTAACTGAGCTCGATGTTCAGCTCTTCTCATCCAACCACTGCCAGCCACCCTGCGGATATCGTCAGTCCACCTAGCTGGAGGGCGCCCTACACTACGTTTGCCTAGACGTGGTCTCCACTCTAGAACACGTTTACTCCATCGGTCATCGGTTCTTCGACAGATGTGACCTGCCCACTGCCACTTAAGTTTGCTAATCCTTTGGGCTATGTCGATAACCTTAGTTCTCTGTCGGATCACCTCGTTTCGAATACGATCCTTCAGAGAGACTCCAAGCATAGCCCTTTCCATAGCTCGCTGAGCGACTTTAAATTGGTGGATCAGTCGCACTGTAAGTGTCCACGTCTCGGCTCCGTATGTCATCACTGGTAAGACGCACTCATTGAAGACTTTTGTCTTCAGGCTTTGCGGTATCTTTGACGAGAATACCCGACTGAGTTTCCTATACGCTGCCCAGCCAAGCTGTATCCTCCTACGAGCCTCCCTCTCGAAGTTGTTTCTACCGAACTGGATAGTTTGCCCGAGGTAGACGTACTCTTGAACAACCTCGAGAGGAGATCCATTGATGGTGATCGGCTCCGGGAGAACATGTTCATTGAACATGACCTTCATTTTTTGTAGGTTCATCCGGAGTCCGATGCGAGCAGAGGAATCAGCCAGGCTGTTCAGCGTATATTGTAAGTCCTGTACGGTTTCAGCCACGATTACAATGTCATCTGCAAATCTCAAGTGTGAGAGATACTTGCCGTTAATATTTAGGCCCCGGCCTTTCCAGCGCAGCGTCTTGAACATATCCTCCAAAGCATTAGTAAACAGTTTGGGGGAAATAACGTCCCCCTGTCTTACGCCCCGATGCAGGTGGATAGGTTCAGACTGCTGGTTCTGTACTTGAACGACCATAGTGGCAGCATCATATAGATCTCTCAACACTTGAACATACCGCCAGTCGACTTGGCACCGTTGCAAGGACTCCAGAACAGCCCAGGTTTCGACAGTATCAAAGCCTTTCTCGTAGTCCACAAACGCCAGGCATAAGGGCAGATTATACTCTTCGGTTTTCTGTACAATCTGCCTCACTGTATGTATGTGGTCCACGGTACCATATCCCCCTCGGAACCCGGCCTGCTCAGGGGGCTGAGACTCGTCGAGTCTTCGCGCGAGACGATTTGTTATGACCCTGGAAAACAGCTTATAGACGTGGCTCAGAAGAGAAATAGGTCGGTAGTTCTTCAGAAGGGTTTTGTCTCCTTTTTTGAAGAACATAATGACGACACTTTTGCCCCACGCCCTTGGAGTTTTCCCCGAGAATAGAACGGAATCAAACAAGCGTTTAAGTCGCTCAAGCACTGGCTTTCCACCGGCCTTTAGGAGCTCCGTTGTAATTCCATCCTCTCCGGGGGCTTTTCCATTTTTAAGCTGCTTCAAAGCCAACGCAATCTCGTCTTGGCTGATCTCTGGCATGTCTTCGGTAAAGTGGCGGATAAGTGTGGCCCTAGGATCCCCCGAGTCTCGATATGGACGCGGCGCTTTTGAGGTGTACAGATCACCGTAGAAGCGCCGAACCTCCTCGAGAATTTCCGGCTTAGAAGAGACGATATTACCATCCGGTGTGGTCAACTTCGTCAGATGGCTTCGATTTAATTGCTGTCTGAAGACTTTTGACCCCCGGTTTCGCTCAATCGCTTCTTTTATAGCGCGAGTATTGGCGCTTCGGAGATCACGTCTTATCAGCTTTGAGATCTTTTTATTAAGATCTGACGAAGCGACTGATGGGTTGTTACGTCGCCTCTCCATAACCTGTAGGCACTCTCCCGAATGCTTGGCGCCCCTGCCGGTATTCTGCTTCCGCCATAATCTCGTCCCTTCGTCTCGGAGGATCCCTACTGTTTGGTCAAGTTCCTGGTCGATATTAATGTCATTTGTGGTTTCCAAGGCAGCAAATCGGTTTTCCAGTTTTAACTGAAATGTTTCAGACCCAACCACGGAGCAAGTTTGGTCGGAGCGTAGACTTCATGAGACGGACACGCTCGGAGTCATATTTGATGTTTAGAGTGCCTCGCACAAGTCGGTGATCACTTCCGGTATTAAACCTATTGATCACTGAGACATCTCTAAATATTCGTCTCTTGTCCGTCATAATGAAGTCTATTTCATTTTTTGTCATAGCGTCGGGGCTCCGCCACGTCCACTTCCGTTGGGGCTGCTTCTTAAAGAAGGAGTTCATCAAAAATAGCCCCTCTTTTTCCAGGAAGTTAACGAGCATTTGCCCCCTATGGTTCCTGCTTCCAAAACCATGTGGTCCTACTACCGACTCGCCGCTAGTCTGTACTCCCACTTTAGCATTGAAGTCTCCCATGACAACGTTGAAATGGGCCTTTTGGGTGGTGTGTAAGGCCCTGGAAATGTCTTCATACAATTCCTCTACCTCATCATCCGAGTATGTCGAGGTAGGTGTGTATACTTGGATGACCTTTAGGTTATACCTCTTGGTGAGTTTGATCACAAGGTACGCTACCCTTGCTGACACACTGGAGACCTCAACAACGCTGTCTGACAGAGATCTGTGGACCAAAAACCCGACGCCACCCTGTGATGGTTGGTCTCCTTCCCTGTAGTACATAAGGTGGCCAGACTCCAAAGTTACGGTATCCTCTCCCTGTCTTCGGACTTCGCATAACCCCAGAATATGCCACCTCACGTTTTCTAGCTCCACCTCTAACTGTGCCAAATGTTCATCGAGCCGTAGCATGCGTCCGTTATACGTAGCCAGAGTCAGTTGGTGTTGTCGGCCTTTCATAGCCCGGAGATTCTTAGCACCCCCTACCCCGCCGTTACTATGACCGCCGACTTGGCCAAGAATAGCGGGGCGACCGGGAACTGGGGGCCGTTTCGTTAGGCGTGCCATTAGAGGTAATGCCCGTAATCACCACGCTGGGCAGGCGGGTTGGTGATCGCAGGGCGTAGCTCCTCGCACTAGTGACGCTGCTGCCCGACACTAGTCTGCTGAATTTGTCTACGCCTACATTTTATGGTTATACCGCCATGAGTCGGTCGCCAGAGCCTCGTTCGTTAATCAGCAGGATGCACCACGAGCAGGTGAGGTTGACTGGGGCACTAAGATAGTATTTTCCCCCTTACATCCCCCCTCTAGTAGGTAAATGAATTGAATGTATTAAAAATACAAACACACCTATCGGCACAATGGTTACATCCCATATGTCGAAGATGTCATGAGCTAGCTTTATTTGTTTCATCTTTTACGATATTCTCGTCATGTGGGATTGATATTTATTGTTATGTGCACACAGTTATTGTTACGTGCTTGTACATTTTATATACAGCGATAACGTTGCGAGCTCAACTTTTAAACTTTAATTCACTCTTTGATCAGACAAAGACATTTAGGTTAGATGAACAATAATAACCGCATCATAAACAATATTCAATAAATCATAATGCATAGCGTAAATTATTTTTTTACCGCCAGAGGCGCCCCTGTCGTCTATCGTCTATAGTATTTACTTAGCGAGACCGAACCTAAAACAGCGCCATCTGTTATCGAATATAAGAAAATCTCACCAGTTCATGAACATCAAATTTATCCAAAGTTGCCGCCATTGGCCGATAGATGGCGGAAAGTTAATACGATTACTTCTACTACTGTATGCTGTCCTAGTACATGGCGATCGTAAGTGCCTGCTCCAGATTCTCCACTTACGTTCCAAACGTGCCATTCTTGGCCCCGTTAGATTTTGTCATACTTGACGGCTGACCTCTTAATACTTGGGAATTTATCATGTCCGTAACTTTTAAATATGCTCTAAAACAATAATTATCTCTCAAATTTAGTTATAAGAGTGTATTAAATTTTTCTTATCCCATAAATAGATTTCTAAACCAAAGATTATTAAACATTTTGTTTGTAGTGCATTTAAAAATGTAATTATTAGCTTTTTGCATAATCTATGTAGGATTTTCTTATAAATCGATTCGTAAAAAGGTTCTAATTCATACAATCGTGTTTAATGCACAGTAAAACGAAAACCACAATCAATAAAAATCTTGAAATATAGTTTTCTTTGATACAACATTAGGAAAACTAAAATATTTCTGGCAAACACATTTACCACCTCTGCCAAGTCGGTGATACAATACAAAATACTTCGTAAAAAATGTCTGACTCAGAAAAAGTATTTTCTAACGTCGTTAATAAAACCTACACACATTTATGTATTCTAACGCTCGTAACTTAGCCAAGAGAAATGTTCTAGAACAATAAAAATATGTAGATATTCTATTCAACTATTGGTATATCTATGTATCCGTATATAGCATAAAAGTAATAATTATCTATTCAAAAAAGCCTGTTCGAAAGGATTTTTTTAATTTAATTTAATTTAAAATCTACAAAAAATAACAAAATATATGAATATGAAAAATCATCTTTTACAAATAGGTTTAAATAAAAAAACCTAATTAATAACAAAAATCCTTTCGATATGTCGTCCAGACAGAAAAAAAATATATTTCATGAGACATGATAAAGGTTGTATTCTACTCAATACCTAACGAAAACTCGATAAACGAAAGACCAGACACGCGAAGTTTGACGCGACATGTGGGATGATAATTTATTTTAAGCAGTTTACTCACAGGCTATTTCTGTTCCCATATGCTACCTTGAACCGTCCAGAAGTATGTACGGCCTATTTCAGTTTACTGACTAAACGAACGATTCCGTTCACGAAGTGAATATAACGTGTTTTTCAATAATAACCTCGGAGGGTGGGACGTAAGGGCAAACACGTCAAACTTAATCAATCATCACTTCACCAAAAATAACTTTTAACGAAGAACAGACAAGACAAAACATATTTTAAAAATATTGCTGAATATAATTGAATTACAATCTAAGTTTGAAAAATACATAATAATATAATATAAGGCAATGTATAAAAATAGGGTGACCCTGTGACCTTTTTAAATATTGGATTTTACCTATCCATTCATGATATTCAATCAATTGTGTTTACCTCTTATTCCCTATTTACTTTTTCGTCTTAAGTTTCTAGAAAATTTATCATTCAGATATAAATAGTTTTTCATTTGTGTAATTAATACTAGACCACAATATACTGAAGCAAAACTGGTGCCCTGACAACGATTCGAAGATGCTTGTAAATTAATCGCAATGAAATCTTTTGTACAAAGAATATGAAAGATACGTCAGCGCGTAAATGAATGATTACATTACTAAATTGCAATACAGCGGTAAACAATGCAGCACGAACAGAATGACGTCACGCTCATTCGGTGCAAAGTGCATGTATGCAGCTTAACCTTCTAGCGTTTATGTTACCCTGGTGCTCGTTCCTTTTGTGAGCGACACCAAAGGGGCCCTATCCCCTTCGAGCACCCTTCTCTGGGTCAATGCGCATCTCTCGGTCATTCACCGGACCGACCTTCATCTGCTGTTTTTGCCTTTATGCGTGTCTAGTTGTCATAATGCATTAAAATGTGTAGCTATTTATTTATTCACTTAGTATGTTCCAAATGAAATATAACATCAAAGCCAATGAAATGTGCATCCTGGGAACGTCGTCTATTACAGACTGCAGTAGATGACTAGATTAACACACTGTTTTACTTCCATGTGGTACTAGATTCACTGTATGAAAGACAAAATTAAATAAAGATTTTACTGGAATAAATTGAATGTCATTTTCATAATATCTCCCAGGGGCAACAGGTTCATAGAGAAAATAATATTAAGACGGAACCCGACCCTTTAAAAACATTAGCACATTTACCACTGAAGACATTGCGAGTAACATGTGCATTGTATGCGTAAGAATACGCTGTGAGAAACTGCAACAAATTGTCTTACCAGGAACTCTATGTACAAGGATTGCAGAATACAGAAGTAGTTCGATGCACCAAACGGCATTACACGGCCGTGCAACATAAATGCATCGATGACTGATATGACGCGACCGCACACTACAAAACTCTTTATTACGCCACGAACACATTGATGAAACGTCAAATTTAGAACGTCAGGTAGGATATCATGATTCATGATAATGCTCATAACAGTTTTTATTTTACGACTTTATAAACCACATGCATATTGGACACGATAGCAAAGTGATATCGATACTTAACAAATTTTCTATTTCAGCCAGGAACAACACAAACAAAATTATGACGTGTCCATAAATTTCATCAGCTAGGATCTAAAAGACATAATGTAGTACTCAAAACAATATCTTTTCTTCATTTGATTTATTGATCTATGAGTCTTTGTACTCGCAGATTTTTATAGACGAACATACCTATAAAATCCGCAGATAATAACGAATCGTAAAGTTTAAAAGCAAGTGTGAAAATTTTTAACCTCGTTTCGTTGAGGCCGAGAATAAGTTTTCGTTTTCTTGACCGACAACCAACCTAAGGGGATCTAAATATAAAGCTTTTCGTATTAAGTGTTGCTTTAAGAAGTGGGTCAAGTTATGTACGTGGGTAATTAGGTACACGAGGTTTAGGTTGACGAGAACGGCCTAATTAAAAAGCTAAATTTAAGAAGTTCGAATAACATTAATTATAAGATGTTATGAACTCAAAAAAAACACCAAATTTGTGGTTCATCTCCATGAACATGATCAGTCCTTCTCCGTCTAATAAAATATGTATTTTTAAGTATTATTTTTTACATAATAACAGTGTGAATTTTTATTTATTTACTTACATGTTATAATTAACTCAATTTCTATACGTAAGTATATAAAAATTCTTAAGAATATGGCATTTCTTGGAAATGATTTCCTAGAAAATTTATCGATGGTGGGAGTTGTTTGAATTTGCTATCCATAAAATGTAACTGTAAAACTGTAATTGGTCTAAAAATAAACTTTGTTTAATTTCCAAACACGTGCAAGTGTTGCAGTCTTCTGGAATAACGTGGTACATCTAGAAATTGTTACTAATTTGCTATTTATACAACTGAAAAGTATTGACATGGATGTAAATTATCATCTTATGTAGGAATTTATTGAAACGGAATTCCACAATAAACGTTACTGGACACGTAAGGAGATATTTCTGTCGATCGTTCCCTCGTTTCTGCGTCGTGTTCCTTCGCACTGGTATTTACATCGATAGAGCTTTGCTGGCGTATAAAACAGGTTATAGAAGCGAGTAACGCTTATTTTGTTCTCAACTTTGGCGAGAGTGCCATCTAGCGAGAAGAGCGTGAAACATCGCGGTTGTGATTTGTGTACCTTTGTGACATTTTGGAAATCCTTGTGAATCAAAATGCCTGGACGTCCTATTTGGCAGGTAAGATTATAATAATATTTTCAGAAATTGACAAATTTTATTTCATATTAAAAATAATTACCTTAACGTTATCTTCATTCAATATCACAAGGATAGAAAAACATTTTGAATAAACAGAGATATATTAATTAAAACTGTATTAACGCGAACGGTTTTTAAAGCCGGCATAATATTTAATGACGTGAAGATTTTCTTGGTAATTTTAGAAACTACTCGTTTTAATTTTTATTAAGTTGATCAGTACCTAAATAAAATAATAGCCTGTTTGAAAATAAAGATTCGTTTCAAACTTTTAAAACCGCAGCGATGACTAATATGACCTTAGCCTAGCTAGTGGCTACCTGAAAATAACAGGTGTATAAACAAAACGTGGTTTCGTAAAACTTCAAGACTTGGCACAGAGTCAAGTTTCTGCAGTTAATTATTTATTTACAAAACGTCAAGTTTGATACGAAAAATGAAGTTATTACAATATATTTTCCGAAGAGGATGAATAATAAAAATGCATTTAGAGTTTAAAGGTTTTCAATATTTACACAACACAACCGGTTTTCAGTCAAAATAACAAAACGTTCTGATCTTATATACATTTCAATCAATCGACTACCAGTTCACATAGTTTTCGTTTCAAAATTATAATATATTTTCTTTATAACAAATAATACAGTACCTACAACTTATAATAAAATACTTTGATTTTTTTTTAATCTCATTGATTATACCTACTCAGGCATACAATGTCATGCATCCATCATCCACATTAAACTTAAAGATTTATCTAAAGTAAAAACATGTTTTAAAGTTTAACTTAATATAACAAATTAAGTAAGTAGTTTTTTTAAATAATTATTTGTAAGTACAATAGACCTATGTTTAATCCTAAACTTTCTTCTCAATCTTTTTACTAGGCCAATTATTTTTGACGTCTCCAATCATGAAGTCTCCTGGTAAATTGTGAAACAGTCTCTGCATAAAACCAAGTAAAATGTCTTCTATGGTTTTTGATAATATTGGTCGCAAAGATTCAGATACTGGTCGCCAATTTGCATTCAAATAGGCGTTGGTACTCTCCTCTGAAATTAAAAGAAATATTTACCAATTAATATAATCTGAATTAATCATAGTTTGTGTACAAAACATCACTAATACTTCTTGTAAAAATCTTATTTATTCAAATAATAATCCACGCCGTGCGACTCGATACGTGACCGCCATCTCTTGTTAAAACAAGAAACAATAAATCAAGGCCGAGGTAGATTACTTCTGCAAAATACTTTGCGAATAACTCGTCAAACAAAACTTCGCGTCTATTTATTCCTAATAATTAGCAATAAATCTCATATTTTAACTTAAACATGTAGCATTTTTCTTAGCTGACAATAAGGAATAATTCGTTAGTCAGAGAGTCAAACAAAACAATGATTTCTTGAATCGGAATTGCGAATAAAATTGGCAACAGTGGAGCGAGCGGTTGTCAAACGTCCAACGACGTTCCAACGTCTCAACGTTGCAATTTGTAACACGTTAGTACCAGGGCGCCATACTCTGCGAGAGCCGTGATCGTAAAACTCATTCGTGTTGCTACTGAAGCGCCACCTACCAGCACGTAGATACATTAATAGTCTAAATGATTGGTTCGACCTCTTGATGTTAGATGGCGCTTTGAGTTCCACAAACAAAGTAATAGATGGCAGTACATGTGCCATTTACAGCCTCAAGATGGCATTTTTTGTATTTTAATTTAAAAATGAATTTAAATCATACACACCCAACGATTCAATGCCGTCAAATAAGTTATTCATACGCAGTTTTAATCCTCCGATATTGTATTTTACATGTGCCCCAGTGACGTTGAAAAACACGAAGTCATCCTTGTTGTATAACTTTGTATCACTGATAATATCAATTGTCATGTTTGCTGTGAACAGAAAATTAATTTTAGTGTGAAACTATAGCAATTGAACAAAAACACAAACAAAAATAAATTCGATTGAAATAGATGATAAACAATACATACTCGGCTCAAACCAACATAAGCCGCGGCCGACCAAAGGTATCAACAATATTTTTCCTTTCAAATCATACGTTCCTTCTATTCTGATTTTCGGAACACGTACTTTTGTGTGAAAGTCGTAGGTTTTACCGTCGACTCTGAAAAAGGTCAATTAATTATTTATTAAAATACTTAAATTGATGAGACTTTGGTAGTTATTTTAAATAATCCTTTACATTTTACTTTACGGAAAACATAAATATAATAATTTTGTATTAATTAATATAATGTTTTATTATATTTTGTGAAAAAAATTACGGACTTAGATTTTAGATTGTAATCAAAAAGGGACTGGAAACATATTTCTTATATTTGGATAGGAAAATAAACATAAGTTTATTATATCACTCTTTATATCAAAACGAACGTTTTACTAATTAAAAATAATAAAAATCAAACTCGAATGCAATTCGCTCAACTTAGTCGATCAAACAGTCGTCTCTAGTACCAGGGTACGATGTAATCAAGATGGTCATACTTACTGGCTCGACAATACTTCTGTCTTTCCAAAACCTGTAACAGTGACGTCATCGAGTGCAGCATTCACGTTCACTGGGCCTTCACCTTGTAGGATCCTTATTTTCGGTATTTTTAGAGGATCTAAAGGTTCCATTCCAATTTCTGGCAGACCTAGAACACAAAATAATATAAATTAAATTTAGTTTCTTTACACCGCGTACAGATGTCGCTAGTTGTTACGTACGAACTACGAAACAAAATTAATATTATAGTAACTGTTTTTCTTAGTATTACATATTATGAAGTTAATTCTTCTGTCTAATGCTTATTCAATGGAATTACAGTGGTATTAAGGCGTATTTGATACCTCGCGTCACATGAGTACGATGAAGAAATAGCGCTTTCGCTTTCCGCAAGTTATGTACAAATGTTTCGTAATTGAGGCTATGTGACTAGCCCAGTGGCCTGTGAATCTACCAACCCACTATCATACGAGCTATTAAATAGTACGTTGCTCCTACTTAGAAAATACATTTCTTCGCAAATTAGAGGGATTGGAATTCTGCTAGAAACATCTAGCAAGATGAAAATAATAGAAATTGTTAAATTGTAAGGGACTATAATTGAAGCATTATTGCAATAAATATTAGGTAATGCACCTACTGAAAAACATCGTGATTCAATAAAACTGTTCTTATCGTTCGTTAATTAAATGCTTACAATAATAAAACAGTAAAATAACGCGTGATTAACAAACAAATAACGTTAAATTAAACAAAATAGTGCACACGTTAACAAACGCGTGGGGGCACAATGTACTAAGAGCGCAGAACCGGCGAGTAGTACACATCGTGCAAGCCACGAAACACGAACAGCTGTGAGCAGTTGTGCAACAAACCAGGCGCTCAGAAACCGTGCCAGCTACTTACGAAGTTGACTGCTAGACCGGTGGCAACTCGTACTAAACTATCAACGTACCACTCGAACCAATCAAAAGTGTTGCGTCTGTTTTGGTAATTTCATTAATATATTGCAAGTAGTAGATACCTACTTGATAACTTTACCGATGTTTTGATTGAGCAATGCATGTTGTTTATTTTAGGCTACGAAGTGCGAACAAATGTGTTAACAGTTGCACAAGATAAGATATGCAAAATGAAATATCTATTTCAATCTTCTACTATTTGTTGTTGCCCCAATAAGATGGATGGGTATTTGTTAATTGTAAATTTGAATAATGTAAGGACAAACAATGTTTTCGTTCTACCTATTTTTCCCCTTTTGTATTGGGTATTGGCGGAGATGAACACAGTCACATGCAATATACATAAGTTAACATAACTCTATGAAATTTTGAAATCAAGAAACGCTTTAATATGTTCATGCGATGAACCCAAGCAAGACCTTTCTAGGTCAGCAACCGAGTACGTAATCAGTAGGCTAGCTAAACACGTGTGTTGCTAAGTGCAAAACTTAAGGGAGAATTGCCAAACAGCATTCAAAGAATTATATTCCATTGGGAAGAAAATGAATTATTTATCATCAACAACCACTGCTGAAGATCCTTTCCCAAGACTATGATATGGCCTGTGGGTCTGTGCCTCCTATGGACGGTGCGGTGGAAGAGTTCTTAATGTTTTAAAAATAACTGAGGAAAATATGAAGTTTGACTAATATTACCTGGACCTAATGCATCGAATAGTTGTTGTACGGCTTGCCGTGAACAAACGTCGAAGTCTGGATCGCTTTTGAAACATGTCTTCACGAAACTTGCTGTAACAAAACAAAATGAAAATTAAAAATGTATCTTTGGAAAGCAAAAACTAACCTTCTCATCCAAAACAATAAGTTCAAATTGCATTTGTAATGTGTCTTGGGTAATCGTACGTATTGATGGATTTGCAGGTAAATACACCGCTTACTTTTATTCGGCCTTGACATTCATATTAATTCGGAACTAGTAAAAACGAGCGGTTACTATCACCGTGAATCTTTGTAATTTAAAACAAAGAACTGCACTGAATGGTGTTTTTAAAGATAAATAAATAAATAGGTACTCTATGGTTTTGGAAATACAAATATGTAACAATACTTTATATTTCTTTTTCAAATTTTGACTTGGAGCTTTGCGTTGTTTGTTGCCTATTGACACCCATCTTCCATCAAGGACAATCTACAAGAAGTACTAGAAAACACGTCCATATCCAAAAGAAAAAGGTGGCGAAAATACAAATGAAAATTTGTGGGACCTGATGATCAACACCACAATTTTTGATTACAAAGCTAAACGTATTAAGAAACAAAATTAAACACCACTGAAATCTGTATATGGTGTAAATAAATTGATTAATTACATTATCACTTAGATCTTACGATAAGAAAGAAATGTAAAATTTATATTTTTTTTAGTACTAATGTTAGATAATTTATTTAGTGTCTTACCCCTAGCCCATTAATGAACGTTCGAAACGTGTTAAATTTTCAAAAGAAGAGAATAACAATATTAATAAATCAATTATTACAAAATAATCATTAAATTTCACAATAAAAGTAGTAAAATTACGATAAAATTACAAATACACGTAATACGTTCCTATTTAAGAAAATATTTTAAAAATCGTCGTCTCAATGATTAGAAACAATACACAATACATATTTTACAGTATGCCAAAGTGATCCAATATTTTATGTATATTGAAAAATAAAATAAATGGATCACGTTAGCTGGCAGTAAAGTAGCAATATTTTAATCTACCGTGGAAAATAAATCTTTCCTGTTTCACACATTTTGTTAGCAACTATAAACAACTTACACTTGCGCCACAAATAAAATAGGAACACTTCATTGCAAAATACAGGCAATTATTACTTAGAGAAAGTATTATTACAGAAATAGTGTTAATTAAACGTACTAATAATAGCATTGCAATCGAGTTCTGTCGCGCCGACTCGATCATTCCACTCGATGCCTTAGAAAATGCCGTAACGTTTCATGATATAACGGCCATAATCGATTTATGCAACACAACATTATAGAACACAGAACCGGCACCGGGACTATCGGATTATCACAGAAACAGAGCTTTGAACACTATGTAGGTCATCTTAAAAATTGGCACGATGCAATATTGAATGTTGATACAAAAATACTTACGTTTCGTTTTAAAATATTCTCCGGTGGTACAGTGGAGCACTAAAGTCACTATGAATAATTTAAACTGCATGTTTTGGTTCGGCATCTGTTGTGGCTGTCGAATAGTCAGGATCGCCTCGAGCAGGCTGCTCGAGGTGGTGGTGCGATACTAAGGCCCGCTCCGTGGGTCTCCACATGCCTCAAGAGTGCCACGAGGAGGGGGGCTATACGCAATTGTTAACTATGTAAATAAAGCTTAAACTTATCGTTGCTCAAGTTAATATTGCTAATAATGCATATAAAATTATTTGTAGAATTGCCATTCCTTCAATTGGTAACTTGTTATGTCATAGAGGTGTGAATTGTGGCACAATTTTTGTTAATGAAAAACGTTGGATATACGCAGATACAACAAATTTGGTATGGAGATGCGATAAGAAAAGTAGTTCATCTGTTGATGAATGATTTGGGCTTAGCGTTTCAATTGATGGTTCAGTTAGGATTGATAATAAGAATACTGATAAAACACTAGTGGAACTAGATACAAAAGATACATATTACACAACTGCAAGAGACGCTATTGCTATCGCTGTAGTAATCAAGGAAATCAAGACGATTTCCTCAAAGCCATGCAGCTAACTAGTTCAGTTTAAATAGACCAGTTGACTGGCAATTAAGACCTTACGTGTAGTAAGTATACAGTAAGTGTTACATTCGTTCCGTTACATCGATTCCCTCTTCTTCGACTCGACCGTTTGGTAATCGAGTGTTTGTATGTTTAGGTATTGTACTGGTTGAGGAATTAGGATTTTACGGTTGTAAATTTTATTTCAAAGTGATCATTACATGACCGGTTATTTAATTATCTTTTCCACCATTTATTCGTACTGTGTCTGGGATCATAGGTTCCGTCAAATAAATCGATGAGAATTATTAGTTAGACATGTTCAGTAGTTGAATTTTTATATTATTTTAGTCTCCTACACAGATTCAGTTCGATGTATAGAAGTAGACCTCATTTTCTTCTTATTTAAATACTTAAATCAAAATCACAATCCCAAAAACGATAGAGAAAAGCAAGATTATATAACAAACAAAAAATTAGCTGTACCTCAAAAATTCAACGAAAACAAACTTTTGACAAACAACTTTTGAGCTCGCACTACAAAAAAAAAAATGCATTAGAAAAATTGGAGCATCTATTTTAGATTCACAAACAGATGTATTCATTATTGCGTTTTCTCGTCTATCTATAGATTTGAAAGAGGTTGCGTTGGATATTTTGTCACTGTCGATCGCGTGATGTTTTTCGTTCAAGAACTTTGCACAATCTTTCAACATATGGACAGAGGAACTTCTTTTTTGACCGTACTCGTGCAGATCATACGATGACTAGCTTGATAATTTGCTCTTTACTTTGCGCAAACCATTCATTGCTTCATTTTAGTCGCATCACTGGGCATATGAATCGCAAATGTGCCGTGTTTCTTGTTAGTGCTAGATCACCTTGAACTTTTTAATTAATTCTACCTAGATTAGTTTAAGTGCTAAACCTGTTGGTAGGTAGTAAATGTGGTTTGTGAACATCATGAAGCTTACTTCTGAGCTTGACAACTCTTTAAGGCTCCAAATATTTTTTTAATTTCACTTACATTCACAATATTTCTACAACCAGTTTAAGCAGAATTAATTTATTTTATCATCTGAGTCGAGCTGTCGATATAAAATTTTACGTAGACAAGAAGCTCGGAGCCATGGCATGTTTAACGCAATGATGCAACTAAGTTTCTTATAGGTATTGCGATGATCATGTGTAAGTAAATCTTATATCATAGGCTCATAGCATACCAATGACGTAAAGCATTATCTTATGAGAAAATGATAATAGGTCATATAAGTATGTCTACAATTGCTGAGTAATTTTAACCCATTTCTGTGAAGAGAAAATCTTCAAATCACTTCTCCCGCTCTGGTAGAGGCGTGAGATGTAAAACATTTACTGCCACCACCCCATTCTTTCCCTGGCTCCAAGAAATAACGCCCTTTTCAATGGTTATTTAATATTGGTGCTTCCCGAAATATCTATATACCTAGATGGTTAGAGGTCAATCAATGATTATTTATAGAAATTTAGTAGCGTGTAGGTATTTACCTTGTCCTGTCCTTTTTATCAATAATGTAAGCGTTTTAATATGACTCTGATATATTTTCCCATCAGAGATTTTTGAATGAAATAGTGCGGGATTCTTGGTAACACTTACTTTAATCTATATTAAAGAGCCACCTACACATGAGCCGGATGTTTTTCATAATCTACAATATCCTGTTGCTATAGCAATTTGTTAAATTAGACTTATTTTTATGATATTTGAATTTTCTATCTGGTTTGTTGCTGTCTTAGTTGTAATCAATAGCCATTTTTTATTCACTGGGTCTTCACTGCTAGTTTCCATTCTTAATTTCGAACTATTCTTTTTTCAAATCATCTGTATTCGAATACCCTTCTAATTGATCCTAGAAAAAATTGTCCTTTAAAAAATATAGCATTAGCAGCTACGAGCTAATGCACCTTTTTAGTGAATAGATACAAAATGCAAATTATCATCTTAGTACGAATCAGGTTAGGCAATGAAGGATCACATAAAAACTAAAAGTATGCACCACGCCTTAGTCTGACCTCAAGCACAGAATGATGCAAAGGGACAGACAATATTTGCAATACTGCATCGTAACCAAATGGACAATAGAAAAAAAGAGAAAGGACTGTCAAATCAAATAATGATTTTAATACAATAGGTTTAAGGTGTATAAACTATTGAATATTTAATTTTGTGTCCTGTATAGGTTAGTAATGTTTGGCTACTAGTTTACCTCGAATTAATAATAAGTATAATATATCAGCCGGGATTGCGGGTGAAAGCGCAATTGTACGAAGCAGGAGAAGGAAAGAGTTGGTTTTTAGCCAGTAAGAGAGTGTCACTCCCGCACGAGTCAAATTCAAATTCAAATTCTTTATTTGCATGAGTCTACTAGTCATAGAATCATTTTCCCCTATTAATAGTCATAAACTAAGAGACTACTTGCCATTTAAGATGAAAAAAATATCGACGTGTGGAAGAGCTATGCTTCGGCACGAATGGGTCGGCTCGACCGGAGTTATACCACGGCCTCACAGAAAACCGGCGTGAAACAACCACAATGTTGTGTTTCGCCGTATGAGTGAGGTTACCGGACGCCCAATCCTTTCCCTACCCCAATCCCAAAATCCCCAAAATCCCAATCCCTAAAAGGTCGGCAACGCACTCGTAACTCCTTTTTTGTTGCGGGTGTCCGTCCATGGGTGACGCTGATTGCTTACCATCAGGTAATCCGTCTGCTCGTTTGCCGTCCTATCACATAAAAAAAAGACAATCCTTATAACAATATAGATAAACCCTATTTCAAAGCATGAAAAATATTAACTGATGTTTCGATATATTTTTCTAACAAGAATGTCATCAAAACACATTATTATGAGTTAACAGTTCGTAAAACATCAACACCGTACGACATAAACACATCAACAACTACGATGATACATTATTATTTTCGTCTAAGAATTTCTTAACCTTTTTATAAAGATAATAATAATTCTCGGTTTGTCCTCGCGGTTGTTGAACAACTTTGACCCGTAAGTCAGATGCAATCGGTGCAGTTTAGCTGTTTAGTCCAACCACTTGTAACTACTAGGTACGCGGAAACTAGACATCTAGAGGAGGTTGTGAAATAATAGTACTGATCATACCTTAACCGGTAAGGTAATGGTTAGACGTGATTGTATTTGCCCTGCTTTGGCCACGAAATATAAGATAATGTCTGCAATTCTAGACACCTAAGCTAAGCTTCGAGTCCTATGTTGTTTCGAGAATAATCCATAAGGTGGTGCCAAACAAAATTAAATGTTTTGTAAACTTTTTAATACTAGCTTTAGTTTGCCAGCGGCATAATCAGAAAGAAAAGTAGCCTATGTATAATTTCAGACTGTATTTTATATCTGTACCAATTTCATTACACTACAGTAAGTATGTATTTTTGGGAAATTATTAAGAGTTATGTTTCTTTTGTTATTGGATGCAACGGTTCTACGAGTCATTGGGAAGGCTACTACACATATAAATCTGTCTGTCTGTCTTCTGACTGACGTAACGTTGAAATCGATTAAAACTATAGAAATCATCTATAATGATTTGAATTTCTCACTACGGTAAAAGAGATATAAGGACATATATCTACATATACCTACTAAAAGCAACTAAAATAATATTTGGTATTGATGATAAACAAAGGTTATTAAATTCAAAAACTTTCTCCTAGAACACGATGTCATTCATAAAGATAACATAATAAGGTTGAAACTATCTCAAATAATCTATTTAAGAGCTGTTGTCAAGGAAATTTTCCAGTCAGTTAAAACCCTTGTAGTAACGTAAAGCTTTTTATAAACCATCCACAAACATGACGAAAATTGAACTACTGCCAAAACTACACGAAACATTGTTGCGTACTTTGTAATTATCGCACTTTAAGAAGAAATTTGGCGTATTCCTTTAATCCTTTAATTGTCCTGTAATTTTAACCCATTTCTGTGAAGAGAAAATCTTCAAATCACTTCTCCCGCTCTGGTAGAGGCGTGAGATGTAAAACATTTACTGCCACCACCCCATTCTTTCCCTGGCTCCAAGAAATAACGCCCTTTTCAATGGTTATTTAATATTGGTGCTTCCCGAAATATCTATATACCTAGATGGTTAGAGGTCAATCAATGATTATTTATAGAAATTTAGTAGCGTGTAGGTATTTACCTTGTCCTGTCCTTTTTATCAATAATGTAAGCGTTTTAATATGACTCTGATATATTTTCCCATCAGAGATTTTTGAATGAAATAGTGCGGGATTCTTGGTAACACTTACTTTAATCTATATTAAAGAGCCACCTACACATGAGCCGGATGTTTTTCATAATCTACAATATCCTGTTGCTATAGCAATTTGTTAAATTAGACTTATTTTTATGATATTTGAATTTTCTATCTGGTTTGTTGCTGTCTTAGTTGTAATCAATAGCCATTTTTTATTCACTGGGTCTTCACTGCTAGTTTCCATTCTTAATTTCGAACTATTCTTTT